GGTTTTAGGTTAAGAAAAGTAGAAGAAAAGTGAGAGGAAGGAGAAAAGAGAGAAGAGGAACAGGAGAACACAAAGGTTTGAAAGAAGGGACAGATTCTAACACATCTGCCGCCGCCACTCTCTTCGTATTTATAGGTTATGTTCAGTACATAGAGAAAAGGACAGATCTGCCCTTAGTACTTATATGACAAATAAAGTAAATAAAAACTGAAATAACAACTGACCCCAACTGACACTACCATGACTGAAACAAATAATTACACATACTGTCCTACGAACACAATGGGGACCACTGCTGTGGGGCCCACATCAGTGTTCTCTACAATAACTATGTGCCATAACCTATCTCTTCCAAATGGGAGCCTTCATAACCATTTACCCAGGAGAGCAGTAATTTTGAGAGTGATGTTTCCCAATCCTAAACCCTTAGTTCCTTAGGCTTGCAGACCTGTTCCCATTTAACCAGATGATCCTTCTTTTTGTTCCCTGGTTCCCACAAGAAATCCCTCATAAATTTCTCTGTCTATCTAGCAATTCTTGAAATCATTTTGTTACTTATTAATCAATTTATTAAATGGCTAATTGTCATTTCAAAACTCAACATTCAGATTTTAGAACACTCTTTACATTTAGATATCAGCAACAAGAAAAGTTCACCAATTTCAATGTACCTCTAAAAGCAATTATTACAGTTTCAAATGTCAAACTTCAACACAAATGAACAGGCATAGCAATAAGCAAAATGTGGTGCCAAGTTCAAGTGAAGAAGATGAATTTCAATCCATGGCACACAGTGTGTATGAAGCATTATGGATGCAAACAAAGTTGCTATCAGTATCACTCGTAATCCTACTCAACATATTCCAAGCACATAGAGGTTGAGCATCACTTTATATATGAAAAACTTCTAGATGGCCAGATTTGTACTCCTTATACCACCACACAATCTCAACTAACTGATATTCTCACTAAAGGAGCTACCAAAGTGTGCATATTGGAGATTGTAAGCAAGCTGGGCATGATAGATATATTTCCACCAACTTGAGGGGGAGTATTAGAAGTATTAGTGAGTCTTATTTCTCGTGTAAAAGGGTATTTTGGTAATTGAATATGTGTTGGGCTGAGGGGGAGATATATCTCTTGTTATAAGGGCAGTATTGTACCTTTACATATCATTCTTAGCAAGAATAAAGGCATATTAAGGGGGTTGGGTGGAATCAATTAAACACCACTTTTTCCTTCTCTTTTCTTCTTTCTTTTCTCTTCTTCCTCTTCTTTCTTTCTCTCAAACCAAGGATCAAAAAATTGCAATGTATTGGCCCGTATCGGGGGCTTCCCGATACACCCCTACAGGGGGAGTTTCGGGTCAGACCCTGGGTCAGGGGGTAGAGGGGCCTTAAACTGACCCCTCTGAACCAGATTGAAAAAAAAAAACTAAAAAAAAGGGGAAGCGACCCACAATATAGGAAGATATGCCCTACCGGCATATCGGCCTGTATCGATATTTTGAACTTTGTCTCAAACCCTAAGGCTGTTTTTGGCTTGAAATAAAAGGTAGGAAAGGAAGGGAAAGGCAAAGAAAACTGTGTTTTTCAAGCACAATTATTAAACAATTTCCTATATATCAATAACTACCACGTTTAGCATAGTATATGGGAGGAAACAATATTTGATAAATAGTCATGTATTATACCATTCCACAAAGACTAAAAGAGTAGAAAATATTTTTGGTTAAAAAGGGTATGAAATTAGGAAATACATACATCATCACTGCATTGTATATTTGGAAATAGCAATTATAAATTATAGTTTCTGTTAATTTTGAAAACAAAATGAAACTGCATACCTTATACGGAAAGATTTTCTACATGAGCATCTAGAGTTTCTGGAAAGCTATGCACTAAGGGTTGATCAGCTTGTATCATGTTTTTGTTTTCTTTGCAAGGGGTGTCATCTAGACACCTGATCAGCTTGTATCGTGTTTTTGTTTATTAAAATTTTATTCTTTATTCTTCAAAAAAAGGGTTGACATGGCCAATCATGACCATCCTTCTGACAAGAGGCCCTGCATGACCATGTTTACACTGCTATGTTTGCATCAGCTCCTTGCTTTATTATATGTTCAAACTTCACACTATGAAAGGTATCCATTTTAAACTCCTTTTTTTGAAATAAAAGGGTTTACTTTTTGTCATATCAGGATTTGGAGCTGGAACTTTGTAGATGGGAATAGGGAGAAGTGAACAAACACAAACCCTTTTGGACTACAATAGTTTTCAAAAGAGAACAGATCCATCCAAATTTCTTTACATTGTCTTTCCATGAAACCCATGCTTATCTTTCTCTTAACTATATTTCTAGAGCATAGTTTTCAAGGCACCAAGGTGAGACTAGGCAACAGGGGGGGCGCCTTGTCGCCTCTAGGCGATGGATTTTTATGTTGAAAACATATATCCTAGGGTAGTTCCCTAGGTACCATAACCATATTTCCTTAATAATCATTCATAATTTTCATAAGAAAATTATAAAGTTCATATTGAAGTATAGAAAATCAACATATTCATGAGAAGAAAAAGAAGAAGGAAAATAAAATTCAAAAAATATAGGGGATGAACCCTTATTTTTGTTATAGGAAAAGAAGAAAAGAAAGTTCTTCCTTATTGGTTCAGGTTTTGAAGTCTTTGAGGGTTCAATACAGCATTTAGCAATGTTTGTGTTGATTAAACCCTAATAAATAAGAAAACAATAAAAAGAAATTAGTATATTTTTTTTTTATCAATAACAGATTCATTCAATTCATTGAAATATCACAGCAAGGAAGACAAAAACTCTTTATCTTCCGAATACAACTTAAACCCTCCAAAGAGAGAAAAAGAGAAAAATCAACAATTAAGTTACATCTTAGCCCAAAACATTGCTTCCCTTTCTATCCCTTGTTTAGCTAATCCATCAACTACAGAGTTAGCTGATCTCTTAACCCAACTCATCCCGATTTCCATCCCCCGCACCAGCCACCAGAATTTCCTCTTCTCATTTCTGTAGTTCCATAAACCGCAGTCGTCTTTAATCAGCCACCCTATCACCACCTCCGAGTCCCCTTCAATTATGAGTTTCCTGACATTCATCTCCTTGGCTTTATGAACTCCTTTCATAACTGCCAAGATCTCATCTCTAAGGGAATCCCCCACACTAATTCGGCCTGAGAACAGGGCATAAATGTCCCTATTCTCATCCCTAAAAACACCTCCAATCCCTGATTGTCCTGGGTTCCCCCTACAACTCCCATCAAAATTTAACTTTAAGAAGCCAGCAGGTGGGGGAGTCCAAGACACCCTTATTATTGGTTTGAYCTGWGTGCARTTTGCAATCTCACCCCACTTTCTCAACATGTCTTCCACTGTGTAGTTTGTAAATAGTTCTAGTAATTTCAGCCACTGTACTGCCCTTATGTGGATCACARCCCTCAATTCTTCAGCCCCTCTCTCATTTTCTAAGATCCTAGTATTTCTTTCTTCCCATAATGTCCAACATACTGCAGCCCTCAGACCTCTCCACATAGTCCTTCCCCTTTTCATGTGTCACCTGAAAAAGGAAGGGGAAAATAGGCTTTGCAAGTTTGATGAAGGGTTCCACCTACATTCAAAGAGAGAAAAAGCGCACTCCCAAATTGACTTTGCAAATTGGCAAGACACCAGTAAGTGAAAACCAGTCTCCCCATCCGCTTTGCAAAGAACACATCAATGAGGTGACAAACAAGTATTGGGTCTCTTCTTTTGGAGAAAATCCCTAGTGTTGAATCTTTCCAAATAGGCTTCCCAACAAAAACTACCAACCCTAGGAGGAATTGGTCTGCACCAAACCTCACTAACCGGGAAAGGGGAGGTTGCAGGACTGGTGGACTGGCGGACTGGCAAAGGACTTTGAAGAAGGAAGCGCAAGAAAAAGAGCCTGTGGGGGTAGGGGTCCAAATTCTAGAGTCCACCTTAGAAGGGTTCAAGAAAACATTATCAAGAAGTTCAAAGAGGCTCAAAATACTATCAAGGTTTGAATCCCTCACAGCCCTCCTCAGACCCATGTTAAAAGAAATTAGTATATAAACACACAAAATGATTATTTTAGTTTAATAATTTCTATTTTATAATTATAATCTCAAAAAAGAATGAACAAAAAAGTATTTTATAGTAGGAAGTAAAAAACTGCTTGGCGATTAGGCGAGTCGAGCCTCAAAGGGCGCCTTGTAGCCTAGGCATCGCCTTGATAACTATGTTCTAGAGATGACTCAAAAGGCAGGAATTTTGGTCACCATGTCTAAAACCCTTTATCCATATCTGACATGATATATTAGTGTCAACTAACATAAAAAAGAATAGCAAATCAAGGAGAAAATAAGAAGAAGAAATAGAGAGAACACCAAGATTTAACATGATTCGGCTTGGTAGCCTACATCCATGGGAGGAGAGGAAAAATATCCACTATGAGAACAAGAGATACAACTCTCTCTCTCTCTCTCTCTCTCTCACACACACACACACACACACACATACACACACACAAGCCCCTTTTTCTCCCATATATACATGCAAGTTCCCATGATTTATCAATATTACACATATACCCATGTAACCTCCAAGAACCCAAATACAATATCTCTTAACAGTTAGCTTTCCAGTCATTTATTCATATTAATATACTTAACTGACAAAATAAAAATAAAAATGGATAATTTTGATATGTTAGCCTTTAGTTGTTTTGTATGTGACCCCTTCACTTCATACTCTTTGGAATGTTGGATTTCTTTTCTTCTCCATTGCCTTAATAAATTCTTTAGTTATTTTTGCTGACAAAAAATATATAAAAATTGAAAAAGAATCCCATGGAAGCCAAATGAGTCATGACAAGTAGAATGTATGAAGAAAAATATCTAACTCAAAATAATAAAGAATACCAACAGAAGTAACAAAACTAAAATACTCACACTACCACATCCAGGAACTAGAGCCCTGCCTTTGGGAAATGCATCCGTCTGAAGAAGATGTAGAATAACAGGTGTTGGCTGCCCCAAATCCCATGGTGTTAGTCCTTCCTCCCAACATTTTTCCCAACCACCTATAATTTGGAGAAAGAAGATATAAATTGCACATACATGGCAAGCGTATGCAAAAATACAAATGTCATTGAGATCCATACAGGTTGGAAAACACAACAGGACAATTAAAGGAAACAACAATTTGGATAAAGTAACCCTCTCTATATCCTCTATTATCAAGCACTAAAGTACATATCTAGATTCTAGAGAGAGACCCATGATAGTGGAACCATGGTTCAAGGTGCTTTTCTACTTTTGTTTTATGGCATCTTATGGTGATTGTGCCTTAGGCTACCAAGGAAGAGGAAATCTAAGTAGCAAGGCAAGGAGACACAAGCACTAATAGAGACATGGACTTGTTAGTAGGATATCTAGAGATTTGTTTGTTCTGTTCTATTTTCTTTGATTAGTTGCAATTTGTTCTGTTCTATTTTCTTCTTACATCAATAATTTTGGTGATGTAAAAAAGAAGTAAAATGAAGAATAAATTGTTCAGTGAGACATGAAAGTAGTCTTAAGGCTGTGTTTGGTAAGAGTGCAAAAGGCATGTGTTGATGTAAATGCAAGTTTGGTCAAAAAGTGAGAATGCAATCTTGGTTCAGTTTTGCATTGATAAATTTTGTATCAACTTTGGTTTTGATGGATACAAACATGATTTCAATACTGGAATATACCCTTTTTACATGGACCAACTTTAAGTGCAAAACGTATGCAAACTATCAGGAAAAAACAAATTTACTTTCATTTTCAGTACAAAGACATATTCCTACCAAACAACTGCAAAACCTAACTGGAGTATATATTTGCTTCAGTTCTGCACTCACGCTCTTACAAAGTGCAGCCGAACGAACAAAATATGCCAACCATAAAAAAACACCCATGTCTTGATAAAAACTACCTTCACCAGAAAGCTGTGGTGCTTACTGTATTTAAGTTTGAAAGGTGCAACAATTATGGCAGAAAAAAATGTTAATTGGCTAGTTTTAAATTTTAAGGTGCTATATAACAAGTAATTGTAGAATGTTCCTGATTGAAAACAGATTTTGATATGCAGATCCGTGGATCTTTGCATGCAAGATGAAATATATAGGGAATTTAAGTGCATCAGATAATTTTGCATCTTTCACGTGTTCAATATGTAGAGAGACTGGGCCGAATGGGCCCTAGTCCTTTAGTGTCATTCTTATTAGTTCCTTCTTGTTATGTTTTCTTATTGGGCCTTCTTTCTTTATTGGGCCTTTGCTTATGTTTTGTTTTTAAGTGTATTGCTGATGTGGACGCCTACTTAAGGGCCTCCTTATAAATTATGTAACTTAAGTAAGTTTACTAAAAAGATTAGAGTAGGGGAAAGAGGCGATTATCGAACTCCTCCTTTCTTTCTCCTTTCTTCTCCATTTTTCCTTCTTCTTGCTGTCTTCCTCTTCTTCCTTCCTTCTTTCTGCTCTAATCTAAATATTTCAGCTAATTTTATTGGTATGAATCACATCTTGGTATCAGAGTAGGTCCTCATTTTTCTCCTTTTTTTCCTTTTTTCCCATACACTTTTTTTTCTAATCGAAAGGTGTATGGAGAGATAAATTTCTGATCAATCAGAGATCATGTTTGCCTAATTGGTAGAGGGTTTGAAGAGTCGGAAGCTGGCCGAAGATTGCCAAGAAAGTGGGACTACAGAATTTTTCCCCAAAACCCTAGCCGACTAGAGAGTTTCCAGTTACGGGTTGAAAAGGCTGTTTGGGTGTGGCACTCAAGGCTTGGAGGGTTCCTTTTTATCTCCAAAAGTGGGCGGCTGCAATTGGAAGTGGTTTGGATTGCTCTGGTTTGAGCAGCTACCTCTTCTCTCTTTCTCCCCGGAGGTTAGGTACGGTGAAACCCTAGTTTTGGGACTTTTCAGTGTTTGACTTACCTTAGTTAGGTCTATAAAGGTTGAAAACATTGTTTTTTTATTTTCATTTGATTGATGGAGCAATATGGAAGTGAGATGAAGCAAATCCCGGTGTCAGGGGTTGGTCCCGTAGATTCCATTTTGATAGGAGTGACTACAATTAAACTTGACAGAACAAATTACCTTTTTTTATTTTCGTTTGATTGATGGAGTAATATGGAAGTGAGATGAAGCAAATCTCGGTGTCAGGGGTTGGTCCCGTAGATTCCATTTTGATAGGAGTGACTATAATTAAACTTGACAGAACAAATTACCTTGCTTGGGCACAATCTATTAAGATCCATGTTTGTAGTAGAGGTAAACTAGGGTTTCTCACGGGTAGTAAGGTGATGCCGAAAGAGACTAGTCCTACATATGAGAAATGGATGTAGGATAACTACACAATTATTGGGTGGTTGGTAAATTCTATGCAACCCCACATAAGTCAACACTATTTGTGAATGACTTTAGCCAAGGAGATTTGGGATAGTGTTACGGAAACATACTCTCAGAAATTAAATGTTGCAAGGGCTACAAAATGAAGAATGATGTGAAAAATTGAAAATAGGGGGAGAAGAGTGTGGCTGTCTACTATTCGATGTTGAAGTCACTATGGCAGGAGATAGATGTTATGGAAGCATTCATATGGGAAAGCACCAAAGATGCAGAAATTTTCAAAAAAATTGTGGAAAGAAATAGTGTTTGAATTCCTTACAAGACTCGATCCTGAATTTGATATTAAAAGGCAAAATATTCCGGCCAAGGATGAAGTGTCACTTGCTCAGGCATACTCTATGGTGAGCAGTGAAGAGAGCAGGAGACAGATACAGCTATAGACCCCACCTCCYCCAGAACATTTTGCACATGCTGGATTAAAACCAAAGGGGGTAAATGAAAAAAGGGAGGTGACATGTGAATATTGCAAGAAGCCGAAACATACGAAGGATTCTTGTTGGAAACTTCATCCAGATCTTCTTCTAGAAAGGTTTCGGAACAACAACAATTTTAAGAAGGGTGATCAGTTTGGAAAGCCCAAGAATGCAAATGTTACTACAGTATCTGAAAGTGAAGAAAAATCTGCTATGGAACAACTGGCAGTAGTGAAGGCAGAATTTGAGAGATATGGGAAGTTGATACATCACCTGGAGTCTATTGTTGCATCTTCCTCCTCAGGCACCCCCTCTACATTCGCCTTTACCATTTAGGTATTTGTGCTTCTGTAAATCATGCTACAGCCTCAGGTAATTGTAGAATTCCTTGGATTATAGATTTTGATGCATTAGACCATATGACTAGCTTACCCAACCTTTTTTGTTCATACCAACTCCTCTCGGGTAGAGAGAAGGTTTCTCTTGCCGATGGGTCTCTTGCTCCCATCTCTAGCAAGGGGGATGTTAAAGCCTTTAACTCACTTGTATTATCTTTTGTCCTTCATGTTCCCAAACTCAGCACTAACCTTTTATCTGTTAGTAGTTTAACAAAATCAATGAACTGAAGCATAACCTTCTTTCCTACTTATTGTGTTTTTCAGGATCTGAAGTCTCAGCAGACGATTGGGAGTGGCCATGAGGCGAATGAGATATACTTGCTGGATGTCTTTGACCAAAGTTCTGGATTACCAAGTGCAGTAGCTTTGGAGTCTGTTTTATCAGAGTCAATTGATAGAGTCATGATATGTCATTTCAGATTTGGTCATTTGTCTTTTTCTGCTTTGAGTCATTTATTTCCAAAAATGTTTAAGGGAATATCCCTATCAAGTCTTCATTGTGAGTCATGTGAACTTGCAAAACATTGTAGACAATCTTTTTCAGTGAGTAATAAAAGATTTGTTTCTCCTTTCCATATTGTGCACTCTGATGTGTGGGGGCATATCATTTACCTGCTATGGGGGGTTACAAATATTTCATTCTTTTCATTGATGATTTCTCTCGTTACACCTGGATTTACCTCATGAAATCCCGGGATGAAGTACCAAATATTGTACAAAAATTTCATGAACTTATACTTACTCAATTTAACACTCGGATCCAAATATCCCGATCTGATAATGCAAAGGAATATTTTGAGAAGAGTCTTTCCTCCTACTTTGATACCTTTGGAGTTATTCATCAGAGTTCCTGTTCCTACACTCCTCAACAAAATGGAGTGGCAGAAAGGAAGAACAGACATGTGGTTAAGGTTGCAAGGAGTCTCCTTTTTGCTTCCCATGTTCCTGTTAAGTTTTGGGGGGATGCTGTCCTTACAGCTACATACTTGATAAACCGAATGCCTTCCCAGGTTCAGGGGTTTAAAACTCCCTTTATCTTGCTTTCCCCAAATGAGGATCTCTTCTCTCTTCCTCTCAGAGTGTTTGGGTGTACTTACTATGTTCATGTTCATAGTCATCAAAGACATAAGTTTGAGCCTAAAGTACACAAGTGTGACTCTTTGGGATATGCCTCCACACAGAAGGGATATTGTTGTTTTGATCCGATTCTTGGCACTCGCTTTGTTTCCAAAGATGTCACATTTGCAGAGTCTGTTCCTTTCTTTGGTACTTCTCCTGAGGAGGAGCATTCAGAGGAGTTGTTTGCATTGTCACCATCTGTTCCTCTTCCAATTCCCATTGAATCTTCTATGGAATCTACTCCAACTGAGTCCTTTATTAACTCTTCTTATCATGTTCTTGCTCCCCCTCCTTCTCCTGCTCATCCTTCCACATTTCCTTCCCATCCTATTATCCAAAGGTGGTACCAGAGACAAAGACTCAGAGACATGCAAGTTGTTTCCATGCCTTCAGATGTGCCTCTTGCTCCTCCCATCACTACTAAGGTAATAGAGGACGAACTAGATGCTCCTCCCATCCAAAGGTGGTCAGCCCTCTTCTACCACTTCGGATACCTTCCCTGACCTTGATCTCCCTATTGCCCCCCTTTGCAAAGGCAAACAGAAATGTACAGCTCATTGCATTTCCAAACACCTATCCTACAGCCTTCTTTTCCCTTTCTACTATTCCTTCCTTGCCTCTATTTCCACACATGTGACTCCCAGATCTGTCCAAGAAGCCTTGTCCAAACCAAAATGGAGGGATGCTATGATGAACGAACTACTGAGGTAATAGAGGACGAACTAGATGCTCCTCCCATCCAAAGGTGGTCAGCCCTCTTCTACCACCTTGGATACCTTCCCTGACCTTGATCTCCATTCGCAAAGGCAAACAGAAATGTACAGCTCATTGCATTTCCAAACACCTATCCTACAGCCTTCTTTTCCCTTCCTACTATTCCTTCATTGCCTCTATTTCCACACATGTGACTCCCAGATCTGTCCCAGAAGCCTTATCCAAACCAAAATGAAGGGATGCTATGATGAACGAACTAGATGCTTTGCATAAGAACAATACCTGGGAAATTGTGGATTTGCTGAGAGAAAGGAACTGGTTGGTTGTAAGTGGGTGTTCACTATTAAGTATCATTCTGATGGTACTGTCGAGTACTCAGATGTATGGTAATGACTACCTGGAAACTTTTGCCCCAGTAGCCAAGATGACTTCAGTTCGAGTTTTGCTCTCTTTAGCTACTGCTTTTGATTGGCCTCTCAATCAGCTTGATGTAAAGAATGCTTTCTTGAACAGGGACCTACATGAAGAGGTCTATATGTCTTTACCTCCAGGGGTGTATGAGAAGGAGATGCAAGGAAAGGTTTGTAAACTGAAGAAGTCCCTTTATGGCCTTAAGCAATCTCCTCGAGCCTAGTTTGATAGATTTCGGGTTGCTCTTATTGCTTTTGGGTACACACAAACTCAATCGGATCATACCTTGTTTGTTAAGAGGAGAGATTCCTTAGTGACCCTTTTGATTGTCTATGTTGATGATATTGTGGTTATTGGTAATGACACCCAGGAAGTTGTTCATCTCAAAAGTTTTCTTAGCACTGAGTTTGAAATTAAAGACTTTGGGGAACTTAGATATTTCTTGGGAATTGAAGTTGCTAGATCTAAGGATAGTCTCTTCATTTCTCAACGGAAGTATGTTCTTGATCTTCTTGCAGATACTAGTAAACCAAGTGCCCGACCTTCTTCTACTCCTATAGACCTAAATCATAAGTTGTCAGCTACTGAGGGTGAACTGTTGCCTGATAAGGGAGTGTTCTAGAGACTGGTTGGAAGTTATTATACCTTTGTATGACTCGGCCAGATATTTCATATGCAATTAGTGTAATTATCCAGTTTATGCATTCTCCCAGAGATACACATTTAGCAGCTGTTGAGAGGGTTTTGTGCTACCTAAAAGGGACTCCAGGGAAAGGTATCTTGTTTGCTAAGCATGGACATATGAAGCTAGAAGCATACACTGATCTTGACTGGGCCGGATGTATTGATGATAAGAGGTCCACTTCAGGTTATTGTGCTATGGTAGCAAGGAACATTGTATCATGGAGGAGTAAGAAGTAGTCTGTAGTGGCAAGATCCTCAATTGAAGTGGAGTACAGGGCAATGGCACATGGAGTTTCTAAACTTTTGTGGTTGAGATCACTTTTAGAAGAACTGGGTATAGATTTTGAGAAGCCAATGATGTTATATTGTGACAACCAAACTGCTATCAACATTGCACATAATCCTGTTCAACATGACAGAACTAAGCACATTGAAGTTGGCAGGCATTTTATACGAGAGAGTTTCCTCAGGAGAAGTCTGCCTACCATTTGTTACTTCTGAAGAACTGTTAGTTGATGCTTTGACAAAAGGTGTTCCTAAAGGAAAACTGGTTCACTATATAAGCAAGCTGGGCATGATTGATATCTATGCTCAGCTTGAGGGGGAGTGTAGAGAGACTGGGGCGAATGGGCCCTAGTCCTTTAGTGTCATTTTTATTAGTTCCTTCTTATTCCTTCTTATTATGTTTTCTTATTGGGCCTTCTTTCTTTATGGACCTTTAGCTTCTATTTTGTTTTTAAGTGTATTGCTGATGTCGCCTACTTAAAGGCCCCCTTGTAAATTATGTAACTTAAGTAAGTTTAATAAAAAGATTAGAGTAGGGGAAAGAGGAGATTATCGAACTCCTCATTTCTTCTCCAATTTTCCTTCTTCTTCTTGTTGTCTTCCTCTTCTTCCTTCTTTCTGCTCTAATCCAAATATTTCTGCTAATTTTATTGGTCTGAATCACATCTCAATATAAGACAAAGCATGGAAAACAGATAGTCTAGACAGTTGTCCATTTTGTTACAGATGCATTAGTTGTCAAAAAGGTAAATCCAGGTGTTTAGATGGTCCATAGTTAACTTTATTTGTTTCCCCCAGTGGTCCAACAACAGGCAGATTTCTCTCATTCTGTTCTCTTCTTAGAATGTAAACTAGGAACAAATCTACAACCACAAGGTAGTGTCCATAAGTACCATGAAATGGAGCTCTGTTCTCATTCCCTAACAGAAGTTGATCACTTTACTGAGAGTTGGGCTCCTCCCAACCAGGTTTGGTAAAAGAGAATTTGATAGTCAATCTAGTCATCAAGCATCAATGGTGTGTGGTGGGATAAAAAGACCACCCTCAATGCTTTCTTAGGTCCAATTGGGAGTGATTCTAAGAGAAGTAAAGAATTCTGTCTCCACAAAGGCTTAGAAGTATCTTTATCCCTTAGTTAACTTTACATTACATTAGAAGGTGACTCCATGAATGTAGTGCATAGAATTTCTAAGAAAGGTGATTTTTCTTGGATGACCTCACTATTAAAAATTCTCTTTTCAAGATTTCTGTGTTCAACAAATGACCTTGCAGATTCTCTTGCTAAAATACAGTATTCAGAGGTGAATTGTGTTAAGGGTCTGAGCTTACCAATTTTTACCTTCCTTGTTTCTGTTCTTGCTCTTGTTTGAGCAGATTTTCCCTACAAGGCCAGGTCATCCCCCTTCTTCCCCCTGGATTGACTCCTTTCCCTTTTTCCTATTAAAAGTTCTATCCTTAAAAAAGGCTGCCTCCTTTGACTATGATGTAATAGAAAGTGTCCACTTGAAAAGGCAGTTATTCATGTTGCCTATATTGATTTCTGGTTCAATTCTAAATATTGAGCCAAACCTAAATAAAATATACAGGAAAAAAGAACTCCCAGTGCACTGTAAAATTCACAATGTGGATTAACCTGAACTTCAGCATCCAACCCAATAATCCTTACACAAACTGCAAATTAAGACGGTTGACAATCTAAAATTTGAGAGCAGGTTACCATCCTAACTCACCAACAGGTCTTACGAGATTTTAGGAGATAAGAGACTGTATTGAACAAACTATAAGGAATCAACACTGGTTCTCTCAGTGAACTGGATGAACCAGTGATATCATCCTTAAATCTACTCAAAGCCAATGAGTTTTAAATGAACAATGGCTAAGAGGTGGAATCTACACGCACCAACTTGAGACTCGATGAGTTCTGAGACAAAAATGGCTCATAAGAGTTGAATCTATTTGGCAGCATGTCAAACTCCAAGAACATGATACTTACATATTGACAAATTTCTCAAGGAACCCAACATCAATACACCGACTTAAAATCTCCTAAACAGCATTCTAAAAAATTTCTATCCAACTCCAGATAAGGCCAAAAATTCCCCCAAGACCACAAATGAGAACCCAAGTTAAAGAACATCATGGAATTGGACCCAGAATTCCTTTCAAATTCATGCTACATTGTATTTGAAAGAAATAATGCTCAATGCGCAAACCACCTTAAAATTCTTTAAAATCAGCAAAACAAAAAGTTCTGGAAAACGAGAAAAACTAAAACAAAACAAAACCCATTTCAGGAAATAACGAAAGAAACCCTGAAATCTAAAGACAGACCATGCTTCTCAGTTTTTTAGGCAGGAGAGTGTTATTACCTTTTGGGTTGCTTCTTATCAGCTCTTGTATCTTATCTACCTTCGGATTCATCTTCATGGTATTGTCGACACGCTCCTGACCTTCCCTTCCCATAGCTAGTTGTGTCGTAGAAATCCTGTCGTTGCCGAGGGAGAAAACTTTGTACGTTGGCAATGAGTTCGAGGGTGCGAACAGAGTTTTGCCTTTGGTAAGCAGACGTAAGCGCTGACACCACATAACGTTCAAGTGTTGCACGGTAGAGGCGTACTGGGCAGCATATTCAGCATGCCCAAGAAGACAATGACGTGGATGAAGATTTCACGAACGCTAAGGCTTAAAGGAATGGAAGAAATCTAACCAAAAAAAAAATCAGTTAACTGAAGTAACAGGAACAATGTCTCTGAGTAATTCTAATTCTTTTTTTTTTTTTGAGATTGAGTACTACTTTTTTTTTATTTTGGTAAAAGAGTAACACTGAGAAACTAGATCTACATATACGACTCTCGTTGTAGAACAATTCAACGACGACAAAGTGTGCAATAATAAGGAGAGATGTATGACCTACCTTGGTTCTTCTTCTTTTGCATAAGATCACATGTATGTAGAACCTACCTTAGGTAGGAATGTAAGGGCACTGAATCATATTATAAGGAAAAAGAGGGTTGAAAAATTAAAGGGGAAAGGTAAACCTCCTTGAGTGTCTAGAAGTTAGCAACCTCCTCTAATTCCACATCCCTTAGAGGTCTACGAAGGTCTAGATTCCAATTAAAACCATGGAACAAGGATGGCAAGTAGTATCAACACTAACTACTTTATTTCTTGAAAGGCTAAAAAGTTTAGGAAATGACTTAACCAAAGTCAATTCACCCTTAACAAAGATCAGTCCAAAATCTGATCTTAAAACCGTTTCAAACTTTATATATGATGAAAGTATAGAAGAAAGAATATAGGTAGATGCAATACCTTTCCATGTATAGAAGAAAGTATAGAGGTGAGCATTATTTGGTTAAAATTTTAGTTTCAGTTTTTTTTTTGTTTGATTTTTGGTTATTTTCGTTTTGTAAAATTTCAGTCTCGGTTTTAATTTTCAGGTTTAGAAATATTATATTGCATTATATTATATATTAAAACATCTAATTTATTATATAAACTGTATAATATATATATTTTAATATATAATACATATATAATATCTATAATATATATTAAAATATATAGTATTGAAATTCGTTTTTAATCAAAATAACCGAAAATCGAACAAAACAAATTTGGTTTCGGTTATTTCAATTTATTCGGTTCGGTTTTTAATTGAATAAACCGTTTGCTCATCCCTGCTGATGTCTATATGCCATTATGCTCTAAATTGAATCTCCACAACCACTTGCCAAGAGGATCAATATTCTTTTTCCTTGATATGCCTGAGACCCAACCTCTACACTCTTTTGATTTACACACCTACTTCCAACTAACTAGATGGTCATTTCTTTCTTCTCCCCATCTCATAAGAAGTCTGTTTGCAACTTTTCAATTTGTATCCTTACTTTGTCAAAGATCTAAAAAACACAAAAGGAAAATAGGTAGGGAAGTTGGTAAGAGAAGCTTTTTATTATCGTGAGTCTTCCCCCTTTTGAAAGGTAATTTTTCTTCCACATGGCTAACTTCTTTTCATGGTGAATTATTTGCAACCTTGGAATAAAATGTTTAACATTCTCAACTCTTATTTCTTTTTCACAATTATTCTTCCCTTCCTTCACTTCTGCTTAGAATTATATATTTAATGTTCTTGATGGTATTTCATTTGAAACCTTATGCAAATTTGTGTACATTTTGTGTGCCTTTAGAATTTAATAACTCATACATCCTAATATCATCTTCCAAGACATTACTTGCATCTTGCTTTGTGGGATTTGCCTCCAAGAATAGTGGAAAACTATGGTTCTTTTTAGTGTTTTCAACCCATCATTGACCTGGATAGTTGAATGGTTTAAACCATCACCAAGCCATGATTTTGGGTTTGATTTTCCTAAAACCCGGAAATTGGTCAAAACTATTAACTTGGCAAAAAATTATCTGACTCGAGTAATTGAACCATTGACCCATTCAAACCAGTGACAGGTTCACTAGTTGCGCATTAAATATGTATGCAAACTTTTGAAGGCCATAACTTTACGTTCCGATGTCCAATTGGGGTGATCCTTTTTTTTATTTTGGGTAACTTTTTGAAATCTATGATTCTATGTGTCCCAAGGGGCTGTAGGTGCCTTGCCTCTCTATTTTTGCAAAAAAAAAAACCCTGTTTTGGCCTCAAATCACAATTTCTTTGCATTTTTATATATAAAAATTAAAATTGAATTTAAAACATAAATTAAATATAAAACAATACTTATATTACATGCAGAATATTATTATTTATTGATAAAATATATGTTTATACACACATATGAATGTATGTATGTATGTATGTATGTATGTATGTATGTATGTAGCTATATATAGGGTTATGATGTGGCACGGTTTGACCCATTCGATCCGAATGGGTGAACCAATGATCCATGACTTAGAGGCAAAAACTGGTTCAGTCTTTCGTTTAGTTTTTAAAACATTGGTTCTTTTAGAGCCTTTACTTCCCTTAAATCTTTGTTTTCTTAAAATAATTGTTTATCTCTTCTAATATATTTAAGGCTTCTTTCCACCACTGTGAATGATAATTCTTAGGGTAAAAGACTTAAACATACCCTAAGGTTTTAAAATGGACTTAAGGCTATGTTTGGTTCATTGCTCTGGGCCTCATTCTCTTAATTCTTGCTCATTCTAGGCAATAATGGGCAAAAATGAATATTATTAGAATGTTTGGTTATAAAATTCTTGCCAAGGACCACATTCTTTTTAGAATGAAAAAACAGCCCCATAGTACAAAAATTGACTAGCCTGCAACATGAAAAATAATCATGCCCCATCTTGCTCATTTCATTCTTTAAGGAAACTCTACCTATAAAATTATTGTCATAGATGTTTACTTTTGTAAAAGCACTTTTACAAAAGTACTTTTGTGAAAGCACTTTTACAAACGTACTTTTACGAAAACATTTTTACAAAAGCACTTTTGTGAAAACACTTTTATGAAAGCACTTTTATGGAAGTAGTTTTACGAAAGCACTATTATGGAAGTACTTTTATAAAAGCATTTTTACGAAAGTACTTATATAAAAGCATTTTTGCAAAAGTACTTTTATAAAAGCACTTTTACAAAAGCAAATTTATAAAAGCACTTTTATGAAAGTACTTTTACAAAATTAATTTTATGAAAGTACTTTTACGAAAGCACTTTTATAAAAGTACAAAATCACTTTTAGGAAAGCACTATTTTAAAATTACTTTTATAAAAGCATTTTTACTGAAATGCTTTTATAAAAACACTTTATGAAAGTACTTTTACAAAACATCTATGCCAATTGGTAAACATTGATTATTGGAGACCTAGGCTGGTGGTTTATGAATACCGGCACATTTTTTTTCCTTTTGAAGAATGAAAATGAGCAACATAGGACACTTGTCAATCTGAAAAGATTTTATTTTTAGGAAAAAAGTGTTTGGTTCATAGCAATATTTTCTCGTTCTGCCTACCATTCTTTTCCATTTTAGAATTTCATCTTGGGTAAAAATGAGAAGAATGAGAATTGAACCAAACATGGCCTAAATATGCCCTATGGGCCAACCTAGTTGGAATAAAACATTCCTTAGTAAGGCATTAACAACCATTAACATGCATCTCATGTGATCCATTTAAAGTTTTAAAAACCCCATTTTCCCTTTTTGTTCTGTCATTGAGTTTATTGAGAAAAGCCAATAAAACAATTGAGAAACCAATTCTTGCTACATCTTCCAACTCAATTTTGAACCGTAGTGATGTTGAGAAGTTGTTTTAATCAACTTCTAATGTTCTGAGATGAGTAGAATGTCTTTTTGCTTTTTCTTTATATAGCAAAAAAAAATGAAGAAATTGGGCTAACCCAATCCCAACCTAACCATTAGGGGTGGGCATGGGTCGGTTTGGTTACCCTGTGAAGGTCAGTTATGGCACTTTTGAGGTTGGTTCTAGGGTCTACCTGTGGAACCTGTTCTTTGTTTACTCTCCCTCTTAAAAAAATGAAACATGTTCTTTAAAAAGTAGATTTTCAATGATGATAATATATAATTTAAAACTCACATTATGTTTATTGGTTAAATTGAGTAACTTAATATGTAGATTATTATAATATATTAACATATAGTTCAAAATTTATTATATTATAATTTAAATTTTGTAAATATTACCTTTTACATTATTTATTATACACATTCAAATATTAAAATGAAAACAAATGATCAAATTACTTAAGTAGCTCAATGGTCAAGTGAAACTATGACTTTTGTAACAATGAGTGATTGGGTTTAAATCTTCACATTCTTTAGAATATTTTGGAGTTTATTTCAAGGCAAGTTCGGCTCCAAGGCCGGTTCCACTAAGGCCAACTATGGCCGATTCATCGAGTCAATTCGGGTAGGGTAATCCCCTAGACCCTGGAACTAACCTGAATAGGAGTTAGTTCCAAAGCCATACCCTACCATGTAATAAATTGAGTAGGGTTGGTTCAAGGCTGGTTTGAGGTTGGTTCTATTCGATTTCGGATAAAACCTACCCATTTGCTCACCCCTACTAACCGTAGACATTCAGTTAGGGGTTCAACAATCTAGATTGGATTAGGATTGACCTCAGCCCGACCAAACCCATCCCTATATAATTTTTTATTTGAGAGCCATGGACCTAGCTAGGATCAATTCCCTCCTTCACCAGAGTTGGGACTTTAGGGTTTGGGCTAAGTTCAGTCAAGGCCAGGTTGACCCGAGTTCAAATGATAGTTTCTATGGGCTGGGCCAGGCCAGATTAACTTCACTCAGTTCATCCTAATTCAACTCCTATGCCATGTTTATAGTGCAGGTAGGGTAGGGGCAATCATTTCTAGCCTCGTCACCAAGCTTGCTCCGCCCTGCCCCACCCCACAAAATTTTCGGGCTTGTGCCTGATGGGTTTTTGTTTTTAGGTCTATCCTGTTTTGGGCCCATATTAGATTTACAGATTTGTGAGTTGAGCTAGGGCCCAATACCTTAGGTCCAGTCTAGCCTATATGTAATGACATGTAGGGGTGTTAATCGACTGGTTTTGGTTTGGATTCAATCCAATCCAAACCTTATCAAATCGTATTTGGACAGTTCATTATAATTATTGGATTGTGTCAATTTAAAATAAATTTGTCTATATTCTTATTGGTTGAATTGGACCTAAAGCAAATTTCTAATAACCCGATCATGAGGCCAAACCCTTGTCCAATTTGAAATCAATCAAAACTGGAGTCAACATAAAATTACTTTTATGAAAGTGCTTTTATGAAAGCACTTTTATGAAAACACTTTTACAAAAGCACTTTTATAAAAATAATTTTATGAAAAGTAATTTTACGAAAGCATTTTTACAAAAGTACTTTTATGAAAGCACTTTTACAAAAAATATTTTTATGAAAGCACTTTTACAAAAGTACTTTTACATGAAAGCACTTTTATGAAATTACTTTTACAAAAAACTTTTACGAAAGTACTTTTATAAAAGCACTTTTGTGAAAGCACTTTTATGGAAGCTTTTTTATAAAAACACTTTTATGAAAGTACTTTTATAAAAGCACTTTTATGCAAGAACTTTCAAAAGCACTTTTACGAAAGCATTTTTATGGAAGTATTTTTATAAAAACACATTTACAAAAATATATTTATAAAAGTACATTTATGAAAGCAATTTTATGGAAGTACTTTTATAAAAGCACTTCTACAAAAGTACTTTTATAAAGGTCTATGGAAGTACTTTTCTAAATGTGCTTTTGTACGAAGTACTTTCAATAAAGTGCTCTTGTAAAAGCACCTTTATGAAAATACTTTTACAAAAGTGTTTTTTCAATGCCAAAAATACTTTTATATAATTTTTGATATTTCATTTCATTTGGATTAAATTTGGTTTGTATTGGATTTGGACTGGATTGGATCCAATCCATTTGTACTCACATTCGAATGGATCGGGTTGGACCAAATCCAATCCAATTGACACCTCTAAATTGACATGGGCCCAAAGCCTGTCCGGCCCATGAAGTGCAGAAATCACTCTCACCCTTCGACCATTTAAAATTTCAAATCTGTCTTGGCTAAGAAGTAAGAAGTAACCAACGTTCTTTCCCTCCAAACGTCTCCGCAACTATTTCCCGCCAACAATGAAGATCTCCGAACTTTCGCCGGAGATTCGGCTAAGTAGTCATGAATCTCAATCTCAGATACTAGAAGAAATCGAAGTTTTGATCAAAGAAGCCGAAGGTCTCTCCCCTGAACATCCATTGCCAGAGAAGGTTTGCTTGAAGCTTCAGAAAAGTATCTCTCGATTAAGCACCGTCACTCCGTTGTCGAATTCCAGTAAGCTTCAAATATGGAAGCTAAGCTACCGTCTGTGGAACGCCTGTGTCGACCTATCAAATGCCATTGGAATACGATCTTCGGCGACCCAAGTGAAGGTCAGCGAAGACCTGGCGAAGCTCCGTCAGATCTCAGCTGATCTGCTGCTTTTAGGCCAAGATGTGAAAGGAATTCCATCTCCTGCATTCAAATCCGCCTCTTTCTTCTATAAAGCAGGTTTGATCTGGCACGATATGAAGAAATACGATCTTGCTGCAAATTGCTTCGAGAAAGCCACCGATCTAACATCTAAGGTCGAGATAAATGAAATTTCTGACAGTGGAGAACGAAAGCTTCTCTTAGATCTGAACATAGCGAGATCACGCACTGCATGGGAAGTCTCCGATCGAAACCTCTCTCTTATGTTACTCAATCGGTCCAAAAATATGTTATTTGGATATTCGGAGAGCTACAAAACCTTAGCGAACCAGTATATGATATTTGGCAGGCTCGTTCTTTCGCAGAATCAGGCATCCGCTCTTAACGACGCTTTGAAGTTGATGAACGAAGCTCTAGACCTCTGTGAGAAGGGTTTGAGGGCCGTTAGTAGGACGGATGAAGCCCTAGCTTTGAAGACACTCAGATCCAAGTGTCTTCGTTTTATGGCTGCTGCACACTTGCAGGGAGAAGAGTTCGAGAGTGTCTTAAAATGCATTAGGGTTTTGAGAGAGGGTGATGGTAGCGAGGACCAACATCCGAGCTTGCCAGTGTTGGCGATGAAGGCTTGGCTGGGATTGGAGAAATGCAAAGAAGCCGAAAAGGAACTGAAGAGCTTAGCGGTAAATAAGGGGATCCCGGAGGGCATTTGGGTTTCGGCGATTGAAGCTTATTTTCAGGCGGCCGGTGTAGCAGGAGCAGAGACTGCTAAAGGAGTGTTTCTGGAATTGTTGGGGAGGTGCCACGTCAGCGCTGCAGCTGCAGTGAGGGTAGTCCACAGGATAATCGGCAGCGGCGGTGATGGTTCACGTCTGAGGGCGAACGTGGTGGCAGAGTTGGTTTCCGACGAGAGGGTGGTGGCTCTTTTTGCCGGAGAGACAGTGACGAAGGAGAGAACGGCAATGCACGCGGTCTTGTGGAACTGGTAAGTTTCAAACCTTCTAATGTACGCAGAACAGAGGGCTTATATAACCACTAACTGACGCCACATCTAGTTTCTTTTCTTCTAAATTTTCTGCCACTTTTTGTTTCTATAAATCACAGCGGAGCAGATCATTTTCGATCGAAAGATTACGAGATGAGCGCAGAGATGTTCGAGATGTCATTGCTCTACGTACCACGGGACATGGAACATAGAGTTGTCCGTGCAAAATGTTTCAGAGTCCTGTGTCTCTGCCACCTCGGTCTCTCCCAGCTTGATCAGGCTGAAGAATTCATCGACCAGGCTAACAAGGTATTCACATCAGATCCATTTCTAAACTCTGTTGTCAATCACCAATATGGACCATTCTCCTAATTTAATGTGTTCTTTGACAATTTTGTAGCTTGATCCCAACATTTCCTGCTTTTTCCTCAAGGTCCTCTTTCTCTCTCTCTCCTGTAAAATTTTGGATACAACTACTTTTAAGCAATGTAAAATTGTAAACAAACCCAAGTTTCATTTCGTGGATGCAGTTCAAGATCTATCTGCAAAAGAATGACGAAACTGGTGCCATCAATCAGATGCATGCAATGCCGACCTGCATTGACTTCACTCCAGACTTTCTCACCCTCTCAGCCCATGAAGCCATAGCGTGTGGAGTCCTTCCAGTTGCTGTTGCCTCATTAGCTAATCTCCTCAACTTCTACTCCCCCGGAAAACCAATGCCGACACCAGAAGTTGTAGTATTCCGCACCCTAATCACAATCCTTGCCCGGGAACCAAACAATGAGTCTGAGATCCTAAAATTCATGAAACGAACCCAGAGTCGGATGTCCGATCTTGGCCATGAATGCTTCTTCGGTAAAGGGGAGGTTGGCAAGCGCGAAAGGAATTGGTTCGCGATGAATTCGTGGAATATTGGGACGAGAAATGGGAGAGAGAAGAATTATGAATTATGTGCAGAGTTCTTACAGTTGGCTTCAGAATTCTACGGTGCTACATTGGAAGGGGAAGTAGATGAGAACGTTGACATGGTTTGTAAGTCTTTGATATTGTGTGTATCTGCCAAGATTGCCTCAGAGAAGGAAAAAAGTGGTTCATTTCTGGATTCAGATGTAAAGCGCGCAATCGAACTGCTCGATAGAGCTGGGAAGGTCTGGTCTAAAGATTATGACACCTCTTTAATTTCTTTTCGTTGAAGTGATTTACTGATACTTGAATCTAGTGAATTGACACAGAATTAGCAAAACAATACCTCTTTAACGTCGTACTCGTAATTCATGCTTGATGATTACATTGATTCTTTGGTAATGGCTGCAGATCCTAACGTCAAGCTCATCCAGGCACCTACCCAGTGACCTTCAGTTTAACATTGAGCCCAGATTCTTCTTCATCCACACACTCAACGCTTACGATCTATATGGCAGGCTAGGTGATTCGGGTCCCAAACAGCTTCACCTGATAAAGAGCTTTGCCTCCTCAAAGGCTTGCTCTCCCCAATACCTCCTCCAGCTAGGCCTCATTGCTACACAGGGCCCACGGTCCAATCCTGATGTAGCCAATTTTGCTCTCAACTCCTGCCTGACGGCCCTCCTCTCTTCACCCTCCCCTGATTACCAAAATATTGCCCTTATCATCCGGAAGCTCATTGGGCTCTCAAGCTTCCACAAGTCTGAGGCAGATGATGAAGCATATAGCATGTATAAGCAAGCATGCCGGATCATGGTGGGTTTAAAGGAGGGGGAATATCCCATTGAGGAAGGGAAGTGGCTTGTAATTACTGCATGGAATCGTGCCGCATTGCCGGTGCGACTTGGACAAGTTGGCGTTGCAAGGAGATGGATGAAGATTGGATTGGAGCTTGCCCAATACATTCCAGGGATGGTGGGTTATAGGAGCTGCATGGAGGAATTTGTTGCTGGATTTGATAAGAAATTCTACAGCCATGATGATGCTGCCGGAGATGCTGATGCTGGTGAAAGGTCTTAACTTTTTCTTAGTTTGCTTTGTTTATACAGGTTACGTGTTCATTGCAATTTGTAAAATACATACATAAAACTATGGCTCTGGCTGCAAAACTGGGGTCTATACTTGCTTGCTAGCTATACTGGCCAGCCCTGGCCTGCTAAACCTGGAAATGGGCTGGAACTGGAAGTACTAGCTTAGCCTTGGGGGCTTGATGTGGGTATGGTCATGCCATTAAATGGTAAAGGCTGATCAGACTAGTTGGCTAGAATGGTTTTAAAAGTAAAGAATACTCTGGGATTCTCCTTGTGGATATGTTCCCTGATTCCACATGTTATACCATCATTTTCCAAGGTGAGCCATTTAGCTCTTGTAATTTCTTGTACAGATTTTGTGTATCTTCACTAATGAGCTGAGCTCAGTTGTTAATTTTCAGCCTACAAATGGCATTGGAATTCAGAACCTTTTTTCGCCCAAAAATTGGTAGGGTTGTTGAGGTGATAAAATAGTAGAAAAATACATCCCAAATCTTTCGGTTGACATTGCTAAATCTTATGATGGGTTCGTATTTCTTTCATTTTGGAGCAAATGAAGTTCTTTTGAGAATGACTTAAAAAAACTTTTCCATTACTTGTAAAGTCCAGATCAGATTTCATTTTACGAGACAGCTGTTAAAGAGTAAAAACCTATTCAGTGACCTCACCTAACAGCTTAAGTTTTTAACTTGAACGGTTCTTTTAAGCTCAATGAGGGGGCATATTAGAGAATTAAAGCTTAACAGTATTCAAGGACTTCACATGAAAGCCCATTGGGCTTGAAGCGTGGACAACCTTGACATCAACCTTGCTTTCCTGATTGAATACTCGAGCGGGTCCAAAAGGTCTTCACGAATGTTTTAAGAGAAAACATGTAGTGGTGAGGTCAAGGATAATTGACAAGACCATGAATAGGCAGCACCTTCCTGAAAACAGATTCTGAATGGACAGATTAAACCAAGCTCCATTCTCCAATGGGCCAACTTCTTGGCCTGTCCAAAATGAAATGGAACAAAGTCTTCAACAAGTAACCCATTTTTTTTGGTAATAAGTAACACACTGCAACTTAGGACAAAACATCTCGTACTGGACTATTCGTTTGGATAAACTGGGGAGGATTTGGTTCATGTCAGCGCTAAAAGGGCCCTAGGACTTGGGAGGGGCGGACTGTGTAAGGGACAATCTTTGGTTTAAACATTCTAAAAGAAACAGGCTCTATATTTGTAGACTTTTTCATTGTAAAATGGGCAAAAACTTTCAGGTTAAAATATTTGAGCTATATTTCCACCTCCCCATTCTACAATGAGAACTTTGTTTTGCCATTTACATAATTACATCAAAACAAACTAGGAGTGGAAAACAATGTTTTGATTTGCTAGGGAGGGAAATAGTAATAGCTGAAATTATTTTAGCCCAAAAAATTGTATTCCCATTTTATGGAGAAACAAACACAGCCATATAGTTGCACTAAAAAAAACAGTAATATATAGTTGCGCTTGGGAGTTGGGAGCTTTAAGAGACAATATTGGGCTGATCATCTCATTTTATGTATATAGAGTTCCACCTAGAGTATCTTCATCTTATCCTCAAATAATACTATAGTAGCAATTGAATAAAAAAATTGGTGGGGGAGACTTATTTGGACCATATGATTTTGTTTATCACTGCAATAACACTGTAACAGCTTCTATTTTCATATATCCTCAAATAATAATATAGTAGCAATTGAATAAAAAAAATTGGTGGGGGAGACTGATTTGGACCATATGCTTTTGTTTATCACTGTAATAACACTGTAACAGCTTCTATTTTCATATTTTCTATCATTTTGTAAAAAAAAATTCAATAACAAATGATCACTTTATCCCTCTTCAATCTACCAATGAAGCTGAAAAATATGAACAAATGGACCCCTGTTCTACCTCTATAAATAAATGTGGAAACAGAGGCGAACAATTTCTTCCCTTGCCTCTCCTATTGTATAGATTCTACAACCCAATGCTTACATAAAAAACAAAAAATCAGAAGAAAACCAACAGTTGGTCTCTCTCGGTCCAAGTAGAAAAAAGTCACGATTTTCCTTGGGATTTTTGCTTCTTGACATGTTTCCATCAGCAATTTACTGTCATGGAAGGCAAAACAAATGACTTCTTGCACTTGTGAGATGATGTCCATGTTACACAGCCTGTCATTGGTTCATCACATAGCACAGTAATTACCACAATTAGGAAGAGAGATGAAGCAAAATGGGGGGCTACAAAGGAAAGAAGAAAAGATAATTCTGAAAAAAACTGGTCTCAAGCCATAGCAGCAGCTGCAACCAATTCTAAGAAACCCGAAGTTCAGAATTCAATAGACAAGTTGATCTTAGAAGCACTGGTTGCAGCAACTATAACATCAATACAGCATTGCAGGATTGTTCTAGAAGAATTGCAGCTTCAAAGTGGTTTTATTTCCTAATAATATATTTTCTGGGGGCTGAAGGAAATGAAACAAAGAATAAAACATGCAAGAGGTAACGACTTTTTTAATTAGTGTAAATAAAATGGCAACTAGAAACATCTAATGTGGATGGTAGATAATACCCATGAAATTACCATATATAAAAAAAAACAAAAGAAAAGAAACAAAAAGAAAGAAAGGAGAAACCTATGTGCCTAAAAAACCCAACGGAGCATCATAATGTATTGTTCACCATTAGCAAATGATGCACATGCTAGGAAAAGTTCAACATGAGATTCTAAATGAATTTTAACCCAAAAGCATACCATGTCCCAAATTCTAAATGAATTTTACAATCATCTGATTTAATTCTTACAAATCTCTTATGTAGGGTCTATTAATAATCTGACCCACTCTTTCACATGTTTTGTTTGATGGGTAACTGAAATATTTTATTAATGAATATAAAAAAGTTACAAACAACTCTTAAGGTAGATACAAGGAAATTCGTATTAGAAATTCGGACAGATTAGCTACAAGGAAGAAGGAGCACTGACTAGTACAATGAAGAGTAAGAGGAGCTTCAACACACATGCTTGCTTCTATCAATGGAAGATGATCATTGTGTGGTTTGGGTTCTCTATGACATTCTTTACCTGAAAACCCAAAAGAAAAAAAAAAGGGTCAGAGACTAAATAGAGCATCCTGCCACAGCCTTTGCAACTAAGGAAAATACAGGGCCATCATTCCCCCCCCCCAAAGTGGTCACTCTCAGACTCGAACAGTGTTCTGACACGTCAGATAAAATTTAAGATAGAATCTAACAAATCTTTTCACCCTGGCTTTATGTAGGTAATTAAATTTTAGCCACTCCCTGCACTAAAACACCCACTTCCTGGCTTTGTTTGGTAACCCACATAAACATAAAGATAAAATTATATACTGCATTCAATTGAAATCAATCTGTATGCATTATGTTACTCCATAAAACCAGAAAAAACAGACATAACTGTGACAGTTGTTTCAAAATGGACAATGTAAAGATAATTCACTTGTAAAAAGTTTTATACAAAGAGAGTGTCTACTATTTGATTCATTCAGTGAATAAGGCTGAACAATCAAGGGGTTGTTTTGGGTAACAAATAAACTCTTCAAAAAAGGCAAATAAGACAATACTATGATGATCAAAGTGTCACTTGTAAAATAGAAATGCAAGGCTTTCTTCAAAGTATCACTTATAAAATAGAAATGCAAGGTTTTCTTCTCTCCCAAAAACCGATATACTCCCACGAAAACAATGGAAAGAGTTTTTATATGGAAATGTGCAATTACGATCCAAGAGACAACACTACAAAGCATCCTAGCCTGCTAGTCTGGTGCTGCTAATGTTGCTTATTCATTCATGTTAATAAAAGATTTTTAAAGACAATTGGAGTTATAAAATCATTTTTTAATAGGGATTAAGAATTTAAAACCTTGATATGGACTTGTTTGAACTTGCCTCGAGGGATTTGGTACAAAGGCATTTTGTAGAATTAGGGATACATAATCTTTAACATCACATCAGTTATTTGAAGTAGTGAAATTGGGAAGAGAATAAAGAGATTGGGAGTTTTACATGCTTGAATATGCTGCATATGTTTTATATGTTATGTTTGATTTTATTTTTAAATTTTCATTTTAAATATGTTTTATATGTTATGTTTATGTATCTTAATTTGAGTTAATAGTTTTCTTTTAACACATTTATTTTAAAGTTTAAGTTTATATTTGAATTACTATTATGTTTAATATTTTTTGTTTTTTTTTGAATTTTTTAACTGTTATTTATTTATTGCATTTTTGCATCTTGCTTCAAAATGGCATGCACTTTGTGCCTCGAGTGCAAAATGCCCTTGCGCTTTTAAAACATTGGTTTGTTGAATTAGCTCTATCCCAACCTGTCCAAGCATTGAAAAGCTGAAATCTGGTCAGCGAACCATTCAAATAACCAGATCAGAGGTTTTGTATATTTAGATTCTGTTGTTACTTGATATATTTTCCTTATTGCATGTTCATTTTTGGCATCATGTCAAACGATTGAATCAGACAGTTGAGATAAAGGCATGAAAATGGTAGCTAGCTTCTAGGTTCTAAAACATTTATGGATATGTATTTAGTGCAATATCAGTTTAGAATACAATAGGAAAAAATCCTAGGTCATGTATTATTTCCTACGTTCTAACTCTTGGTTTTTTCAGAAAAGATATTTTCCTGATTCAGTGAAAATTGGAAGCACGAGAAAAGTAGTTTAACTGCACATATGTTGGTGTCAATTACAAGGAGGAAGCATAATTACCTTAGAAAGTAATTCCTGACTCTCAGGGGGTTGCATTTTCAGACTGAGGTAAGATAGCAGTAAGTAGTTCTAGTTTCTTAGCTCTTAAGGCACCTCTAATAACAGCAGCATTAGTCCCTGAGGCTCCTGATGTAAAAATATGATTTTTCTGTAACATAAAATTCAGATATTACAAAATTGAAAGGAAAATAAGATGTCAATTTCTAGGTCTACAAATAAGTTGATCTGCCTGCTCTTTGATGGTTTTCCCTAGGGAATCTTGTATTGCCAAAATGAATCGATAGGTTGTCCAAGCTAAGTCAGTTTTATTCAGGGGCTGTGAATCAAAAGTGCATCAATAGGTTGTCTGCATGATCCTATCACTTCTCCCCACAAGATTATAGAAAAAGGGACGCATTTCCTGTGTAATACTAAGGGAATTCTGTTTATACAGGTGGGTCCCACACACCGTATTCTGGGTATGTGATGTATTATGGATTTTTTTTTTTTTTTAATCAGTAGTGATGTACTATGGATTTTTAAGACAGAAGAACAAACATTCATATCCTTAACAGTTCTGAACTTCTGATGCATACAAGTTTGG